ATATCACAGCGTACCTTCAGAGGGATAGTGAAGTCAGTGCCTATGCGGGTCAGGGCTGTTTTGACAGCATAAGAGGAACCTACTTAATATTAGGTGGGTGGTCATAATGTTATGGCTGAGGGTTGTATAGGTCTCATCTCCACCTCTCTGAGCTTTGTTGTATGGGGTATTGCAAGAGGCTGATGCCATGTTAAAGCGGAGTTCCAGCCGTATTTGTGTTTATTAACTGTCAGCAGCTACAAAAACTGTAGCTGCTGACTTTTAATAAACACACATTTGCCTGTCCCAGGGTCCAGTGATGTACTCACCCCTGCCGTCCCTCCTCTCCTCCACGGTGCCAGCATCTCAACTGTGGGCACCAGGCTGTGACAGCTTGCGGCTTCACAGCCTGGTGCCAACTGCGCATGCGCAAGGTGTGCTGCACCTCCTGATTGGTCCGGCAGTCTTCTGGGACCTGTGAAAGTTCCCTGGAGACTGCAGGAAGAAGGAGGGGGCCAAACATCCGGCTCACTTCGCCGCGGCAAACTGAGCCAGAAGTGTGAGCGGGTACCTGTCAAAACCAGGTACCTGCTGTCCCTCCCCCCCCCCCCCCCCCAAAAGGTGCCAAATATGGCAGTGGAGGGGGGGGGGGAGCCAAACAAGTGGAGTTTCCACTTTTGGGTGGAACTATGCTTTAAATTCATGTATTTACACTGATTTAAAAAATATATTTAACGGTTAATGAATAAAGAGCTGCAATAACCGACGTGTTTATATCTGTCTGCAGTTCAGCTTTAAAATAAAATCTTACATTGTGAGATACAGTTTGACCTGGGTAAGATAATAGGTAGATTATTTCACTGTGTTGCTTATTTCGTACCTTTACGTGAATAATAGCTATGCTTTGGTGTTTATTCTGTGTATCACTAATCAAATTGCCATTTTCCCCACTATTTCTAGTTGTGTGATACTGATCCGGTCTCCCCAACTGCACTTATACATACTAATGGCTGACATGCGTATACACTCTTCATTGCATGACTTATGAGCCTCCAGTGATCATCCAGTTTGTGCTGACACAATTATTCTGCCCATTGCTCTAGCCAGTAGATTCCCTGTTATGGGTAGCATGGCCCTGCAGGTTACACATTCTTTTTTCACAAGTTTCACAGTTTTTTTTTTTTTATATAGTTTGGTTTTGAACTGTGCATGTGAGTATCTTTAAAACTTTAAACCGACCTTTATTTTATCTCATTCATGTAAACCTTCCAGCTCTGAATGTCAGTTTTACACAACCTTAAAACTGCTCACCTATATATACTCCAAATAACATACTGTGTATGTATCTCATCAGTGTATATCATTTTTTAGCGGCAGACTGGAAAGATGGGAGGAGACATGGCAGACCTGCTGATACGCATACTCCTCAAGGTACAGCTGATCTGTCTGTATTCATATTGGCATACATTAAAATATATTTATAGCCAAAACAGCCAAAACCTCTAGCCTAAAACCCCCGTATAGCCAAAACCTCTAGCCTAAAACCCCCGTATAGCCAAAACCTCTAGCCTAAAACCCCCGTATAGCCAAAACCTCTAGCCTAAAACCCCCGTATAGCCAAAACCTCTAGCCTAAAACCCCCGTATAGCCAAACCCTCTAGCCTAAAACCCCCGTATAGCCAAAACCTCTAGCCTAAAACCCCCGTATAGCCAAACCCTCTAGCCTAAAACCCCCGTATAGCCAAAACCTCTAGCCTAAAACCCCTGTATAGCCAAAACCTCTAGCCTAAAACCCCCGTATAGCCAAAACCTCTAGCCTAAAACCCCCGTATAGCCAAAACCTCTAGCCTAAAACCCCCGCATAGCTAAAACCTCTAGCCTAAAACCCCTAGCCTAAAACCCCCGCATAGCCAAAACCTCTAGCCTAAAACCCCCGCATAGCCAAAACCTCTAGCCTAAAACCCCCGTATAGCCAAAAACCCTCTAGCCTAAAACCCCCGTATAGCCAAACCCTCTAGCCTAAAACCCCCGTATAGCCAAAACCTCTAGCCTAAAACCCCCGTATAGCCAAAACCTCTAGCCTAAAACCCCCGTATAGCCAAAACCTCTAGCCTAAAACCCTCGTATAGCCAAAACCTCTAGCCTAAAACCCCCGTATAGCCAAAACCTCTAGCCTAAAACCCCCGTATAGCCAAAACCTCTAGCCTAAAACCCCCGTATAGCCAAAACCTCTAGCCGAAAACCCCTGTATAGCCAAAACCTCTAGCCGAAAAAACCCCCGTATAGCCAAAACCTCTAGCCGAAAACCCCCGTATAGCCAAAACCTCTAGCCGAAAACCCCCGTATAGCCAAAACCTCTAGCCGAAAACCCCTGTATAGCCAAAACCTCTAGCTTAAAATTTCTGTTAGGTCATCACATGGTTCCAGTAATTTTTCTTGATACAGACTCTCAGTTCTCAGCAGAAATGTACTTGCCTGTCAGTTCCTAGATACATAATGGACAAAAATTAATATTTAAGTGGAATGTATAGTCTTTTAGATACACATGTAAAAGAGATCCGCTCAAGTAATATGTGTGTTTTTGTTTTTTTTCGTTGTGTTTTTTTTTTTTTTACAAAACATTGTTTCTGTGTATAAGTTGTAATTTTATATGTACATGGTGTAGGTATGCTCATTACGTAAACAGGTTCTACCTTTTGCAATGCTACACAATGGGTGTCCTTTACTGCTTTCTAACTGCACAACTATGTGTCCGCTGAATAATGGAAAACCCTGCACTCCCTGTGTAGCCTATATGTTAGTTTAACAGTTTTTAGGCACAATAATTATAATAGCTATGAATGCTGTAAGTGTATAGCCCAGCATTCCTATTGTATTGACATTATTATAGTAGCTAGTCTGCCCTTGGCTAGTGGCTAATCTACAATTCCCTAAATTTAGGAAAATGGCAAAAAAAAATTGTAAAAATATGAAAGTCACATAGGAAGTAATTTGTTACCCCTGTCATAACATATGTGATAACTGAAAAATATACTGTTATCAGCTGCTTAAAGTGTTACTAAACCCACAACAATAAAATGAGTCTGTATATGCAGTACATCATGCTTGTTATACTCACTGTGGAACCTAAGGGGTTAATCCTCTGCATTGTGTAAAAAGGATGGTTGATCCTGACTTCTCTGATCCCCCCCTTCTTCCAGTGTCCCCCTCTTATCTCCTGATAAGACATATTGTGTGGAGTCACTCTGCACATGGTCAGTCTGGTGTGTACTGCTAGAGAGGTTGTTTTTTTTTCCTGAAGAGAGAGAGACACTGATAAATTCACAAGACTGATCTAACTGCTAATGAGAAAAGGTAATTGGCAGTTTATATTTACTAAAATAATTGCACTTCAATGTTCTGTGTACGGTGGGAGATCAGATATAGTGAATGCAGGGTCCTGGGTTTAGTAACACTTTAAAGCCCAAATCTGGGCACCACACTTTCCATAGTTTTAAAGGGCTAAGTTGCTAGTTACACCATCCCCTTATAGTAGTTCATTTTGTTTTTGAATAGTAAGCAGCTGATTTATCCTTGCTATGGTATACTTAGTGATTCTGCAACCTGGAATAGGTATACTGGTAAGCTGTTTCAACAGTACTCTGATGTATATTAATTCTGGATCTTTGACTCACTGATATGACGTCTACAGTCTGCTATGTAGTCCTGTTGGACAACATTGCATCATTCTTCAATTACTGTGAACATGATCTACTGCTGATAAATTTGATTCTATTCTATTTGCCACCGTCTTTTTGTCATGCACAAGGATAAGAATCTTTCATTTTAGCCATGGGAATGTAGTTTTCAAACCTCATTTGATTCCACTGAACACAACTGTCACTTTTAAATAATGAACCTTTTCCTGCTGTTTTTATTTGTGAATTAAAGTATAACTAAAGGCAAAACTTTTTTTTTTTTTTTTTTTTTTATTTAAGTTTTATATGGAGTAGAGAGGGATTGACACCTGTCCGTTTTTAATTCTGTCTGTGTCCCCGTTAGAGATATTCATCCTCTCAATTTGTCCTGTTACTATTATCCTTGAAAAGAAATTCCCACATTTTGGGTTGTCCCTAGAAAAGTAATAAAGGGGAGATCTTCCAATGGGGACACTAGTACTTTTCCTTTCTCTTCCTGTTTTGGCTGTGGGACAAGAAGTGAAGGTAAATTTCCCCAATGGGACACAGATGGCCAAAAAAAAAAAAAAACTGAAGGGTTTAACCCTCCCTTTATCCAAGATGGGAAAAACAAATTTTATCTATAGTTTTACTTTAGGCATATTGCAACTTACAAAATTGTTGCATTTAGCTGTGTACACACCTTAAGGGAATTCAATTTGTGGTCCCTTGGCAAGGGTGAGAAACACTGTATGACTAAATGACAAAAATGAGTTTTTTACTTTATTATAGAAGTGATTCAGGTGACTGTAAATGCGCCCGATCACTTCCACATGCTAACAAGTAGTGGTCCCATACTCTAGGACATTTTCCCCTCCCTACTTCCACTTCTTCTTTATGAGCATGGGACCTCTAGAGGGGCCCTTAGGATGGAGAGCAGGAAGAGAGCAGTCAACTTCTGTTCTCTAATCTCAAAGCCACAAGCAAAGTTAAAAAACTACTGTTAATGGACTACTACAGAATACATTCAATGTTAAATGACCATTTAGTAATATACCAAAAATAAGTAAAAAAATAAAACAAGCCAGACAATAGCCATGCACCCTCAGTGAGCCTTTTTTTACAACACGGTATAAAAACTGCATAGGTATACCTAATTCCCGTAAAACCAACAACCCCCCCCTTAACTCCTCCCCTATCCCGAAAAGTCCTCAAAATGTACCCCAAATGACTGTATACAGCAGACTAGAATCTGTCAAACAAGACTTGACTCACACCTAAGAGTGAGAGTACTAATGTTATACAAAGCAATCCAAAGTATATTAACCTCCCTGGCGGTATTCCTGAGTGTAGCTCGGGGTAAAGTTTCAGTACCAAAAGCGGTAACCCCAAGCTACACTCGGGAATTACCTGCAGCGTTGCATAGGGAGTCCCTGCAGCGCTTACCTTGTTCTTCGCTCCCGCGATGTGTCCCCTGCAGCGTCCCCGGCCATCTCCTCCGGCCGATGCCGGCTTCCGTGTTCCGGTCCCTGTGACGTCGGGATGTACGGGCGGCGGCAAATTTGACATTTTTTTTAAAAATTTCATTTTTTTTAAAATGATTATTACATAGTAAAACATTGCTGTTTCAAAACATTTCACATATATTTTGTCCCTTAGTGCTTTGTCCTGTGCCCTGCCTGCATTTTGACTGTTCTTTCTGCCTGGAAACTTAGAAAAGTCCATGGCGTCCAAAAAGCGTCTCTTTATGTCAAAAGCAGTTTTAGACCAGCTAGAAAACAGCGATAGTAAATCAGAACCACTTGCAGAATTGAGTGATAATGATTCGTGGGGAAATTCGGCATCAGACACTGAAAACGATTTTGCGACTTTGCTCAGCGATGTGCGAACTTGGCGCTATATTTCAAATTTCAGTGTTTTTGGTTTGATTATATTATTTAATTACATTTATTATTATATTATTTTTTGTGATTATTTATTAAATTATAATTTATGATTTTGTGTTTCAAGTTTTATCATATCCAGAATGTTTACTAGACTCTTGTTCGGACAGATTTCAGTGAGTTATTCCTAAATTACAGGCCTACAATAACAAAAAAAAAAAACATATTTCCATGCAAAAAAATGGTACCACTTTCAGCACCAAAAATCTGAAATAATCATACGCTAGGGAGGTTAAATAAATATTGCAAAATACAGCAGTTCATAGCCCAAATTGTACCATTAAAGTCACAAACGTGAGTATGCATGACATGGACAGTCAGTATGGCAAATAATTATAGGTCAGCTGTTCCTTTGCAGAATGGATGTGAAATCACACTGATGGAAGACAAACGGTTTGTTTGATGTTTTACGTATTTTTTGTATATTACTAAATGGTTATGTCAAAGATTTTGAATGTAGTCCCTAGTAGTCCATTAATAGTAGTTATTTTGCTTGTGGTTATTTGATTACAGTATGTCTACTAGGACTACAGGCCTATAGGAATTTTTTTTTTTTTTTTTGAGGCCTCAAACATGGGGGATGATCGCTAATCTCTTCTGCTTTGTTTGAATTTGGATGTGATCTCTTCTCAGAGCAATTCCAGATTCAGAGCTGTCAAATCCCTACTGCAATGGCTCGGTAAACAGCAGATCTGTAAATACAGTAAAATTAAAAAACTAAATTCTAAAAGAGCCCCCCCTGCACATAAATCAGGATGCACATGCATATGTAAATACCTATTGGGCAATACATATTTGGTATCCCGCGCACACGAAAAGTAGGAGGAATATGTTTAGGGCCATCAAAATTAACTCCAAACTGACTAACTTGTAATTTTTTTTTTTCTATGTGTTTATGCACTTTTTGAAATAATCTTTATGTGTAATAGAACATTTGGAGATGATATTGTGTTTATGTTCAGTAAAATTCTTTGTAGGGTATGTTTATTGAAAATGATTTCATGAACATTTGAACGGATACCGTGTTTCTCAAAGGTCCAGTTCATACCTCTGCATTTTAGAGACCACGTTAGAATGCAAGACTAAGGATTGTTATAGCAGCATGTTACCGAATGAAGCCGTTCACATCTTTCCACTGCCTTTTCAAAAAAGTGGCATGTCTGAGTTCTGTGCATTTTCTGTGCATTGGCAATGCATAAAAATGCATGTATTGTGTGTTTTTTTAATTATTATTATTATACAGGATTTATGTAGCACCAACAGTTTGTGCAGTGCTTTACAATATAAGAGGGAGGCAGTACAGTTACAATACAAGAGGGTTAGTAGGGCTCTGCTCATAAGAGCTTACAATCTAATAATTTGTCCACAACGATTATGTAACTGTAGAAAATAAATCCTCATTGGCCAAATGTAAAAACACATTGCACCGAGCATGCAAAAAAACAAAACAAAACGGACAACACGGATAGATGTGAACCTGGCCAAGCAAGCAATTGGGCTTACCAACTTTATATTCTATAGGTCTCTCTATATGGTTTATGGGTCTTTTTTAGGTTTTCAGTTCACAATGTGCCTTTCACCATATCTGAAAAGTTGGTCGTGAAGGGAAAGGCATATAGTTACGTAAGGATATTTGCAGATCTCCATTTCTTCATTGATCCTCATCTTCTCTGTCATATGTTTACAAATATAAAAGAAAAAGAGAGGACAAAGACAATAGGGGAGAGGACAAAGGCCGGGGTTCTCCAAACTTTCTAAACAAAAGGCCAGTTTACTATTCTTCAAGCTTTAGGGGGGCAGACTGTGGCCAGTGTTAGAAGAAAATGTCCTGGAGTCAGTGGGAGTAAACAATGCCCCATCGTTGGTATCAGTGGGAGGATTAGTGCCCCATCATTGGTGTTAATGGGAAGAATAGTGCCCCATCATTGGTATTGATGGGAGGATTAGTGCCCCATCATTGGTATCAGTGGGAGGATTATAGCCCCATCATTGGTGTTAATGGGAAGAATAGTGCCCCATCATTGGTATTGATGGGAGGAATAGTTCCCCATCATTGCTGTCAGTGGGAGTCATAGTGTCCTATTATTAGAATCAATGGGAGGAATAGTGCTCCATCATTGTTATCAGTGAGAGTAATAGTGCCCCATCGTTAGTATCAATGGGAGGAATAGTGCCCCATCGTTAGTATCAATGGGAGGAATAGTGCCCCATCATTGGTATCGGTGGGAGTCATAGTGACCTATCATTAGTATCAGTAATCGTGCTCCATCATTGGTGTCAGTGGGAGGAATAGTGTCTCATTGTCAGTGACAGGAAGTATGCCACATTGATGGTAACAGTGAGAGGAATAATGCCCCAAGGGCTGACTAAAAACAAGCAAGGGGCTGCAGTTTGGAGACTAAAATCTGATTCACCATGTGTACAATTATTAGGCAAGTTGTATTTTTGAGGATTCATTTCATTACTGAACTACAGTGCTCTCGGTTAATCTAAAATGTTAATAAACCTAAAACATGAGGTTTTGTTTTCTTAGGAGGATATCTGTGTTTCACAATTATTCGGCAACTATTAGTGTATAGAATTATTATTTAGCTAAATGAAAAACGAACATTTTTCCATCTCACTTTCACTGTTAGTCTTGTTCACACTACTGCGACCTGAAAGTTGCGCAACTTACAGTGCGACTTTGCCAGGTGACTTGAGTACTACTTTGAAGCAACTTTCAGGGAAGGCCTGGGTAAACTTCCTGTAATGTCGGATACAAATCACAACAATATAGATGAGGATCCGACTTGGAGGCAACTTCCATTAAAGTCTGTGGGCACAAGTCGGATAAAAGTCGCCTTGAAGTAGTACAGGAACCTTTTCTAAAGTTGGAGAAACTTCAGTAGTACTAATGAAGACAGTTTCATTGACTAACATGGGATTTCACATGTCATGTGACTTGGAGTCTCACAAGTCTGATCCCAAGTTGTGGTAGTGTGAACTGAGCCTCAAAGTGAGAGTAATAAACAAGCAACTCAAAATTTACAAAAATTTTTGACACTGCAAAAAATTGGTGAACAATATAGCCACCCTTCTTTTCAATAACTGTCATAAGCCTTCCATATATGGAGTCTGTAAGTTTCTTGATCTGTTGACGGTCAACTTTTTGTGCAGCAGCAACCACAACCTCCCAGACACTGTTCAGAGAGGTGTACTGTTTTCCTCCACCATAAATCTCTGGTTTAAAAAGGGCTAATAAATTCTCAATAGGGTTTGGGTCAGGGGAGGAAGGGGGCCATGCCATTATTCTTTCATCTTTAAGGCTTTACTGGCTAGCCATGCAGTGGAGTACTTCGATGCCTGTGATTGAGCATTGTCCTGCATAAATATCATGGTCTTGAAAAATCCAGACTTTTTCCTGTATCCGTGCTTGAAGAAAGTGTCTTTTAAAAACTGGCAGTAGGTTTGGGAGTTGATTTTGAGTCCATCTTCAACCCAAAAAGGTCCAACTAGCTCATCTTCAATAATACCAGCACCCCACCTTTACCTTGCTGGCATCTGAGTCGAAGTGAAGCTGAAGCTATGCGCCCGTTACTGATCCAGCCATGGGCACATCCATCTGGTCTGCCAAGAGTCACTCTCCTCCTATCAGTCCATAAAACCTTTGAAAAATCTATCTTCAGATATTTCTTGGCGCAGTCTTGATGTTTCAACTTATGTGTCTTGTGGTGGTTGGGTTTCAGCCCTCCTTACTTTGGCCATTTCTCTGAACACCTTGCACTTTTGGGCACTCCAGGTAGGTTGCAGTTCTGGAATGACAGCACTGGAGGATAATGGGTTCCTGTTAACTTCATGTTCGATTCTTCTCAAATCTTTGAAAGTTAAATTGCATTTTGTTTTTTTTTTCTCAACATGTTTCTTGCGCGACCCTGTTGACTATTTGCAACAAATGTTTGATGGTTCTGTGATCATGAGTGCTGTATTCCTCTGATTTTTTTTTTTTTACAATTTTTGACTTTTCAATCAAATATCTTTTTTTGACCCATTTTGCCTGAGGAAAATAAGCTGCCTAATAATTGTGCACAACTTGATATAGGGTGTTGATCTCCTTAGGCCACACCCTCCCATTACATAAATACACCCTGATATGCCTAAATCCAATAAGTATTCAAGTTTATACAGCTTGGAGTTAAACAGTATGCATAAAAATGATGATTTGGTCAATATACTCACTTGCCTAATAATTGTGCACAGAGTGTATATTGTGCACTGCAAGTGTAGTTGCTCCATAGCTTACTAAATGAGGTAAAGCCTCAGTTTACAATGAATACCCAATCACATGCAAGGAAAATAAAAAACACAGCATTTGTACTTGCATATAATTGGATGATGGCAATCAGCAGTTTCCCTTCATTCCAGAGCTTCCCCTTAGATCTAAAGAAACTGCCCTTAAAGAGCAAAGAATATTTGCCTTTAGTAAATCAACCCCATAGCATAGCAATATCTGCATAATAAGCAGCAGCTCTGGCCTCATTTACATATGTTGTTGGGGTCAGGCGGGAATTTGGGCAAGAAAAATAGGCTGTGAGCTGGCGTTTTTACCACCCCAATTGCCCCCCCCTTAATCTAACACAGTATGTGCACTGTCACAAATGATACCCCCTGTCGCATATGTTCAAGTGAATTGGGCCTCAGCACAACTGGCCTGCAACCAGTGCAGTGGTTTTGGTGCTGCAGAGCAGCCTTTACAGCGTTTAAACAGGCAGTGAGTAGG